GGAAATAACTTACTTCAAATATTTTCGAAATAAGAAACATCGTTTATTCGCTGACAAAAAATATTTAAATTAAAATCATGAGGGTTTTTTTACAAATTGTACAGGAACAAATAAAATTGAAAAAATAAACGTTCAAAAATCTCAACTTAATTAAAGCTAATATTTGACTTAATCAAGTTTAATCAAATTTCATAATTTTAGACTAAAAGAGTATTATAGAAAATAATTAATTTGTGAATTTAAATATTTTGCCAAATCTTTAAAAAATATTTCGCAAATCTTTTGATAAACAAAAATAAGAAAAAAAAAAGTTACTTTGATGCAAAGAAAGCAATAAAAAAATAGAAAAATTATCAAGAAAAGAAATTTAAAATAACAATTTAAAAATTAAGAAAAAAAATCTCATTAAAATTATGAAATTTGATTGAACTCATTACTCACAAAATTAATTTGAGTAAAATTTGACTTTAAAATTTGAGTAAAACTTGACTTTAAAATTTGACTTTTAAATGATGTTAAATCTCAACAGTATTGTGTATATTATATTATTCTACATACTTTATAATTATAATTAATTCCAAAGAGTTTTAGTATATGACATCATTGTAGGATCTTTTTTAAATCTTTTTTTTTTTGAATCAACATTATTTGTTTTTGCTTTATTTATCTTTTTAAATTTATCATCAATTGTATGACTTTTGTTTAAATTTTATAGAAAACTAAACAAAAGAATGTTTTTTTATAGAACATGAGAAATAAAATTTTTATGATGCACACTTAAATATAATAAATATATAAATATAATAAATATATAAATATAATAAATATATAAATATATAAATATAATAAATATATAAATATAATAAATATATAAATATAATAAATATATAAATATAATAAATATATAAAAAAGACATTGATCATCATTGATCAGAATATTATATATTCTGAAGCTTTTTTTCTTTTTATGCAAACAAAACTTTTCTTCTAGTTTTTCTAAGCTGTTTATTGTAAATGTTTACTTTTGTTCTCCTATCGTAATGATATTTTATTTTTAATTAATTAATGATTTTGGTAAACGAAATCATTTACTAGAGATATTTGCCTCATTCTTTAATTTAAAAATATTTATAGATTTTACACAAATTTACAGATAGTTTTTTATTAATTAAAGCAATAATTAATGTTTTAAGGCAATATTTCAATACAGATGGCAATTAAAATTGTCAATATGTTGCAGTGTACATTAAAAACATATATTTAATATTTCCCAATTTATGTTGTATCTGACAAGTATATTACATTAAAACCTGTCTCTTAACATTAAAAATAAAAAAAACTACCAAAATTTACAATAAAAAGTTTTTCATTAAACGCTTTTAATTGTAAAATTTACTCGATAATGCTACACTTTCGATAATGCTACACTTTCGATAATGCTACACTTTCGATAATGCTACACTTTCGATAATGCTACACTTTTGATAATGCTACACTTTCGATAATGCTACACTTTGGATAATGCTACACTTTTTTTGCAAATCTTGACCAATAATTGATCAATTTTAAAAATAAAATAAGCAATACATGTTTTACAGAATAAATTTCATTGAATATATTCTTGTATGATTAAATAAAAATTTGGAGAACATTTGTACCCGATGGAAAGTTTAGCAAATAAATGCTGTTAATTAAACTTTCATAACGTTAAATAGAAAATTTAATTTTTTTAACAAAATCTCAATAAGGATAATAATTATTTAATAACAATAATGAAAAAAAAATATTAGATTTCTTATCCCAATTCTACAATGAGATTATTCACTAAAATTCTGGAAGTTAACATGCTTGAATAAATTATAAAGTAATAAATTATAAAGTTTGTATATTGCAACATATAGTTCAAAGACTTAAAACTATTGGCTAACATGAAGACGGAAAGCTTCGAGTAAAACAACAAAGTTAATTTTTCTTGGTATATGTTTATTATTTTGTTTAACTTAAAAAATTTAGCCCAAACATTTTTTTTAATCATTCTTATTAATATGAACACAATTTGTCACAAATTGTTGATGTTAACCTTGATTAAATAATCAAGGTTAACATTCTTGTGGCCAAAAACAAATGTTAACTTTCTTGCAGCCAAAAAACATTATATAATAAAGATTAACTTTGTTGCATCCAATAATAAAGGTTAACTTATTCGGCAGCAAAAAAACAAAATTATATCCTAAACTAATTTTGTAACTAATAAATATGTTTATATGATAGTTACGTATTACAAATAAAATAAAATACAACAAAAATAGGTAAAAATGTATTATGTGAAGCTTTACGTAAAAGATAAAAATTAATTATGTGAAATGTAATAGGTAACAGGTAATACAAAAAATGTACAGCAAAAAGTAAGAATGAATCACTGATAATAAAAGGAAAAATTGTAAAAGTAATTGAATGATTTCTGAATTTATCATATTCATTCTAAATAAAATATATACCTGAACAGCATTCATATCAGGCTTATATTGATTACGAATTTGCAAATCAAACATGATATGACAGAAAGATCTGTAAGCATCCTCCTCATTCATCTTAAAAAAGTATTATTATACGTTTAATATATATATATATATATATATATATATATATATATATATATATATATATATATATATATATATATATATATAAAAATATATATATATATATATATAAAAACTAAAACAACAATTTGGACTAAAACAAAAGAAAATAAATCACAAACTAAAAAATTCTTTAGTGCAACTTACATGTATCAAAAAAAGTCCAGCCACAAAACTCAAACCTTGACAGTAACCAACTTCTCTATCAAGTATGGAATAAGCCTTTAGAATATTGAACAAACTTAACTGACCTGATCCAAGCCGAGCAACAAAATGTTCATGGGTAGGAAATGTTCTACCTGTAAAATAAAATTATTAGTAAGTATTTTATCTTCAAGTGTAGAGTAAATCATATAAGAAATGATTTATCAAACCATTAAGTATAATGATTCATTTTGATTCTATAATATTTCTATTAATTGATATATACTGTTTTTGATTTTATAACAATTATAATTATTGAGATATACTATATATTATGCTAATATATATTATATATATATATATATGCTACTACATATATTCTATTTTAACATATTATAACTAAAAATCCAGAGAAACTTTGATAATGAATATCTCTTGAACAAAGTTATCAATTTTACAAACTTAAAAAGCATATTAACAAAAAATTTGTATTTTACAAAATAAAATAAAAATTATTTATTTATCAGTCCCTTCTGCCAAACATGTATGTAACTTTGATCAATGTTTTTCACACAATACTCTATTCAATTTCTTAGTTAGCAGAATTTTTAGTTTGCCAATTGTCTGCATACATCAATTTTTTAATTTCAGTCCAAAAATCCTCAATTAGACTTAATTCGGGCACATTAGCAGGATGAACTTTTTTAATTAATTTAACCAGGCATTTGAAAATGTACACATCCTTGTTGACTGCTTGGCCCAAAGAAGCAATGTAATGCTTTGAGACCCCTTTCTCTGACAAGGCTATCCAAACTAATAATTTTGGCTCATAATTGCTTTTTTTTTGAGGTTGGACTCATTAGGAGTTGCGTTGTGATCAGAAGTATAATATCCTGCGATGCCAGAAAGCTCTGTTGCACAAATAAAAATATTATTCGTTGTAAATTATTACAAATTTTTTCGGCTCTAGTTCTTTTAAGATACTGAATGCTTGTCTTTTTATTGATAAGTTTGAATATATACTGATGGGAAACATTAAATCTTTTGGCTGAACTACACTGTGAAACAAATCTTTCTTATCATCTGATTTTTCCATGCATTATGTCTGTTTCTTAGCCATTTTTTTTGCAGTCACACCAACTTTTCATTCTGGTCCTATATTGATCTACTTTCATTGCAGTTTATTATAAATGGTTGATTTTGGGACATTTTCTATGCAAAAATAATTTTATCTTCTTGCAAACTCAAAAAATCGTAAACTCGTTTAAAGAGTACCTCTTGATTATTCAATATTTATAATTAAAAGTTGAAAAAAAAAGGACTGGTATATTATAGAAGAATAAATTTGCAACATAGGTAGGATTATAAAATTGTTAGACATAAATTGAAGCTACAAAGTTTGACTGGATTTTTAGTTGTAACATGTTATTCATTTATAAATGTGTCTTAAACAACAATAAACTGAAGAGAAGTAAACTTAATTACATGCTCTATGGCAACAGTTAATTTTTAAACTTTGATAATGAATTTCTCTTGAACGGAGTAATTAACTTTACAAACTTAAAAAGCATATTTAATATAAAACGCCCCTCTAAATAAACTTTCTTTTACTAAAGTTAACTAAATAACAAAAACTGCAATAGCATAAAATTTCAATAAAGGAACCATAAATTTAAAAAAAAAAAATGTTAGGTAGATAAATTAAAAGCATAGGTACTTTTAGGGAGGTGGAGGGTACTCAAAAAAGTGTGTAGCATAGTGCAGGTAAGGAGAGAGAGGGGGAAAAGGGATGGGTTGAAAAAAACACATACTTTATGGACAACCCCTAATGAGTAAAAATTTACATTTATCAGTTTCGCTCTTTTTTATAGTCCATTATCAATTAAGTAACATAAATTCACATAAAAATATTGATATTTTAAATTTAGAATATATTACACAGTTAGTAACTTTATTTTTTTAAAGCTTGATTTCCATAAAACTTAAAAGCAACTTACCTAAGTCTATAAGAATAGCATGCTGATGACTGGTGCTTAATCTCAATAAACTTCTATAAGACTCATTTTTCCAATATTGTTCCTCAACACGCTCAGGACAGCGAATTGTATACTGTTTGATCAAAAACTGCCACACTTCTCCACGCCGAGCGCGTGGCAAACCTCCACGCACTGCCTCGAGCAAAGAATGATCGTTTACTTTTTCATTTTTTTTTTGCGTCAACATTTCATCCCATAAAACTGCTGAAACTCCAGTATAACTGCCATATTCTTTATATGAAAGCTTTTGACGACGCTCTTCTGATGCAGAAATTTTGGCTTAAAATAATAGAAAATGCTTTGTTATTTGTGATTATTTTGTTGAATTTTTGTTGATGATTATTTTGCATAATGACATTGCAGGCTATTATTTGCAAATTGATTTAAAAACCTTTTAGTAAAATAAATGTATTTTTGCAATAAAATAAAAAGAATTATAGCATACCAGCTAGTGTTTTATTTTCTTTTTCCATACGAATTAATAAAATTTGGTTTCTAATGGCATTTGACCATCGCAATCTTGCTCTATAGCTTGAATTCACATGGCCATCAATTGCAGATGCTTTAAAGAAATGTTAGCAAGTTTTAAATTTCTTTTACTTTTTATTATTTTAAAACTATTACTTTATTACTTAATAACTAAGATTAATAAAATAATCTTAGTTATTAAGTAATAAAATAATCAATAATATCTTTGTGTGTGTGTGTATTTATATATATTATTGTTTGGGGTTCCTTCACAAACATATATACTATTATTGTTTAAGGTTCCTTAGTTACCCTGAGACCCAATTGCTTAGGTTATGTAGGTTTATGCAACTTACCTTCGAAGATAATTTTTCTAGTGGTATTATTCAGTACTAATCTGCATACAGATTAACACAAAGGGGATCTGGTTGTAATAAACTATTTTAACTCTTTTATTTTAGACTCAAGGTTTGACTCTGTACATTTTGTTAAACTTCAAAGTCTCTTTTTAAAATAGTTTTTTCATAAATCAGATTTAACACTCATAGATTATCCTGGCCATATTTTAAAAATCCGGAAATTTTTTTTCCTCAAATATCCGGAAAAAATCCGGAAAATTTTTTTGTAATATCCGGAAAAAATCGGAATTTACAAAGAGATGTTAACAAGGAGGAAGGGGGCGTGCTCTCCACCATCTTTTATATTACTATAATATTACGCCAGTTTAAAAGTATCCTTATTCAACGGATATATGAATAAAAAACTACATTTTCATCAAAAAATAATAATAATAACAATAAAATTTTAACAATAGTAATAATAAGAAGAAGATGAAGTTAAAGAAGAAGTAGAAAACTATATTTAAAAGCTGTTAAACAATGCGGAAACTTTTTTAGACATGCTTTTATACATTTAAATACATAATGAATAATGAAATATTGCCTCAATTCACCAAAGATATACAAATAGAAAAACGTTTAACGCATTGTTACAGATCAGAGGCGCCACCATAACTGAAATCCCATGGGCGTTATTTATTTTAGCGTTTTGGTTTTTTTGTAGTAATTTTACAAAATAAACCGATATATATCCGACACTTTAGCTTGCCAACTTCTTTCAGTAAACATAAATGGATTTTATTTTAACTATTTTCGGAGCATACTTCAATCGCAGTAAAAAGATAGGAAATAATAATAATAATAAAACACCAGACTTCTAAAATACAAAAAATAAGAAATCTTTAGTAATAAATATGTTAAAAAAGAAAATAAATAAATAAAAAGTAAAAAGATATTGAATTATTTTTCTATAATCAGTTAGTTTTCTACAATTAGTTCTTCCACTCAGTGCTTAAAATGTTCTAAACTTAATTTTTAGTACAAATACTTCTTTTATTAATAATTCTCCACATTCAAAAATTATAAAAGTTTAAACATTCGTTAGATAAAGTTTAAATAAAAATTTTAAATTTATTTTAACTATGATAAACAAAAGGTGAGGCATTATTAATGATTCACGTGCTCATTCACGTGATTCAAAATTCAAAAGATTTAAAAATATGATTTTTTTTTAATTGAAAGAAAATAAAATTAATTTTGACACGTGCTTTTTGAATTGAAAAGAAAACCTACCTCAAAATGCGATGTTTTTAAAAACCTAATAATGGCACTTAAAAGCAATTTGATTCACTTGACGTTTAGTCAAAGTACATATGTTTAGATTTCTTTAAAATAATTACATAGAATAAAATCCTTATAGTTTAGAATATAGTTTTATTATATAACACTTATTTGTATGTAATAACTTATTACTAACAAAGTAATTAATCTTAGTAATAATAAGTTTTTTTCACCCTTAACGAAAATAAGTTGTACCCCACGACCATATTACACCACGGTATTACAGTAACTGTAAGATTAATAGAAGTTTCTACTAGTTGAAGGTCATACCAAATTTCTCATTCTTAGATCGAACTATACATTGTTTCACTGCACTCTAGAATTAGATTTCACTAATCTCTAAAGAGTTTAAATTTAACGATTATATCTCATATTTGACGGAAATTAAAAACTGATTTCTCTGACAGCTTTTGTATTATTCTACCATCGTCATAACCTTTTAAATACCATCGTCAAAACTTTTTAAAGTCTCCAATTAATAAGAAATTATGCGAAAAAATGATATTTTCAAGAAGTGTACGAATAGAGATTTGAAATGGTTCGACTGGACAGAAAACGAAAAAATGATGCAGTAAATTTTGAACCACCGACAAATAAACTGAGAGAAGTTTCAGTCCATAAGCGAAGTGATTTACTTAAAAAAAGTTTTAAAACAATAAAAAAAGAAATCTCTTTGCTAATAGCTAAAAGAGCAGTTTAAAAAATGTAAATTTACAATTTTTTTTAAAAAGAAAACTTTGACATGCATCGCTAATTTTATTTTAAAAGTAGGAGATCATTCGCTCTTTTGCGCTGGGATTTTTATTAAACTTTAATTAAAATGTTTATTAATTTTTAGTTTACTCTGCGAGGGAAATCTTTTAATCTTTTTGGCTTTGTTTGTTAACTAAATATAACGTTCCGTAATTTATGGACAACAAATTTACTGTTTATATATACTTGTTACTGTTTCATTTGATAGTAATAAACAGAAAAAATTTTATAAATTGTATTTTCGGAAACTAATTATCCGGAAAATATAAAAAGTTTAAAAAATATCCGGAATTCCGGAAATATCCGGAAAAAGATAATTCCTGAACACTGAACACAGCATTTACATAAAAAACACATTCCTGAACACTGAACACAGCATTTACATAAAAAGAACATATGTAAGAAGTGTGTATTAGTACACACAAACTAGTGGAGTTTGAGGCACAAAACAACTTGAGAGCAAACTAACACAAGTTCAAATCAACATATATTATAAGTCAGGCGCCCCAAAAAAAGCACCCAAAATTTATTTTTATTTCCTAATTTTTCTTTTGCTTTTTTATTTCAAATAGAAAAAAAAAATTTTTAAAAATTAGAAAAAAAAAATTTTAAAGTTGTTACGAAACATTAATTTTAAAAACATGTTGCAAAATTTTTTAACAATGCAATGTAATAAGAAATTTGCTTTTTCAAAAATAAAACGATTTTAAAATATCCATTCACAGTTAAGTTAACTTTTGCTTTTTTTGGCAATTGAAGTTAACTGCTTTGGATAATAATGAACAAAAGTAAAAAATGTCTTAACATCTTTCACGCAAATTTAATTTTTGATTGAATGAACTTTTGATCTTTAGCTAGCTATTTAAATTTACTTGAGGAAAACAAAAAAACGAAATGCAAACTTTTTTCAGAAAGACTTCCATATTCTTTTTGACTTTTAAAGTAATAAAAACAACAATTACAATAACTAAATAAAAACAACAGTTACAATAACTAAATAAAAGTTTTATTAAGATCTGTTTAAAATAACCTATAGTAAATGTTATTTATTAAACATAATTTTTTAAATTATATTTAATGATTAAAAAAACATAATATATATTTTTAAATATAATTTAATAAAAAATTTTTTTAATCAAAAAATTTTTTTAAATTATGTTCACTGTAATTATCTCTTCTTAAATTAATTTTTAATTTGAGAGGTGCTTAAAATCACTTTAAAAATTATTAAACTCTAGTAAAAGTTAAATGAACAGATTTAAATCAAAAATTTAAAATTAAAATAATACTAAAAACGTTTATTAAATATGTTTTTTAATCAAACAGTTATTCGAATACAAGACCTAAAACTATTTTGATAACTTTGCAAATATAGTGTGATTTAATAAATGTAAATATATTATGTACTGTAAATATTGATTAACAACAACAACAACAACAACAACAACAACAACAACAACAACAACAACAACAACAACAACAATAATATAAAATAATATAATAATGAGTAAATTAAATATAAGTATATAATAATAATAACTAAATAATAGATAAGGATGGTGTCACTCAAACAGAATTCTGATCAAAGGAGTGACACCAGTTTTTAAATATAATATGATTAATAATAAGCATACACACATAGAACAAAATCATACTTTAAAAATTGTTTAAAGTATTTAAATATTTAATTACTAATTATTTAAAACCTTAATAATACCAAAACTAGATTTACTAAAATATAGTTAATAACTGTTTAAAATACTTTACACAATTTTCAATAATTACTTACTAATAGCGCATTATTTGCAACAAAAGCGTTTATTAAAGTCTTAAGTAAAATAGTTTTCTCATCGTAACTAAAGTATCATCGTCCACCGGTAAATTTTTGTATTTAAAAAAATGCCTTTAAATCAACTCCTTATTTTATGATAAAATTAAACAAGATAAACACAAATGATGATTGAAAAAATGATGATAAAAAATCATTGTCGCTGGACTGGTTTTAACTAGGAAAAAAAAGAAGGGGAGGGGGTAAACTCAAAAACACCACCTCACCTCCTTCCCCCAACATTGCCAAAAAAAAAGCGGTATCTCCAAATAAACTCTAGGTCCTTCACTGTAAATATATTTGTTATTATATTATTGCACTATATAAATTGAAAAGCTTACTTAGTGTAGGATCTCTGCACGATGAAATGACAACACTGTGATAAATATCCTAAAATATTCATATATATTTAAAAGAACAAAAAAAATTGAAAGTTAAAATTAACAAAATATTTAAACTAGGATACTCTTTAACTATTAAACAAAAAAATTTTGCTATGTATTATATTTAAAATATACAAATCTTTGATTTGAGATCCTGTGAAAAAATTACCTGGCGCCAAGAAGGTCTTTTCATAAGTTTCCTACTATTAGCAACACTCTTCCACTGTGTAACTACATCTTCAGTAACTTCATTTTTTATAACTTCTGGTTTATTTGCACTTGACTCTTTATCAAAGTCAAATTTTAGATGTTTCACAGCTAAATCTGGTGTAGTCGGACAACTCATAGGTGCATACATTGTGTTGGAATGGATTGGTTTGTTAATATCTTCTGAACTTTGATGAATCATTGATGGAAAACTATTATTTGGCTAAAAAATAATTTCTGAGCAAAAATAAAAAGTTTATAATTATTGTCATTACTATTTATCTACTATTTATATTATTATCATTATTATCTGTTACTAAATACATAACTATTATATTATTACTAATATCACTATTATATTATTACTAATATTAAATTATTATATTACATTATAATAATTATTTGTTATACATATTATATTACTACTATTTAAAAATATATCACATTTGTTCAGAATTCAAAAAAATAAGGTTGGCTTTTTATTGCAAATGATAAACTTTTTATGGTCGGAGTCAGGCAGGCAAAATGTTTTTAACACAAATGTTTCACCATAACAACATAGAAACAAGGTTGGCAAAAAATCACTGACCTAAGACATTTTTAGGATTAACATTTGAGAATCTTTTGTCACATTTTTGAAAAACCTTTGAGAAACCAAATGTTAGTGATATCTTTACTAACATTTTAATTTCACAGGCTCAATTAATGATTAAATTGTGTTGTACTGCAGTGTGGTGCAAATTATGTTACAATTAAGTTAAAATACAAAAAATGACAAACAAAAGTACTAGTTAAAGTTTTTTCCTGAAATTAAAAAAAACAACAAAAAAAACAGAAGCAAAAACAAACCTTTTTGGTTGCAAAATTATGTAAAGAAGAAGCAAATGTTTTCTTGGCTTTTTCAAAGATGTTTGATGACTTTGAACGATCACGTTCAGGAAAACTTTCGCCAAGTAATTGCTAAAAAGAAAATGCTGCTAATTAATTGTTGTATGGAAAAATGTTAACACAAAAAAATGGAATACAATAATATCTAATAAACCTGCATGTTGTATGAATGCTTATGTGCAAGTTGTTTTTGGTCAATAATACTTCTAACAACATTCACAGAAATGATGAGCTCATCAAATTTGTTAGTAGGATTTTGTTCCTGTTTTCAAAAATAGTAAGACATAAATATACTTCTATAGCAAAGACTTTACTGCTTGTGGTAAAAAACAGCTCTTAACAACTGTTTGTCTTAAAAAATTACAAAATCAAGTACACTTTATGAAAAAACCATTAAATTTAATTGAGAAAACTAATTAAATTTTATCATTTTTAAAAAACAAAAAAATTACAACTTAGACTAAAATGTTTATAATTTTTTAAATAAAAATTAAAACATTCTGAATATTTTTATTTTTATTCTTGTATTGTTCTTTTTTTTTTTTATTTGCATTCACTCCCAACAAGGCTGCAAGCAACCACTATTAAGATGGAAGCTACTAGGAAAAAAAAGAACAGAGTTATAGAGCAAGGAAACGGTTGACAGAAGACTTGAAAAGTTAAAGGTTGTATGAGTCAGGAAAACATGAAGATGGGAGAGAGTTCCAAAGGATTAAAGTGCGGGGAAAAAAACTAGATAAATCAAAGTTTTTAGAGCATGCAAGGACAGATTTTAGCTGATGGAACTAGAGATGATAACTCCTTTGAGCAGTGACCATGATAGTATTTGTAGAAAACAGAAAAAGATGCAACTTTACGACAATGGGAAAGCTTAGCAAATAGTCCAGGTCCAACAACATTTACAATGTATTTTTGGACCTTGTCAAGAAGAGAAAGTGAATCGTTAGAAGAACCAGCCCAAATTATGACAACAGTATTCCATACAGGGACGAATAAGACATTTGTAGAGGTAGAGAATGGAATCAGAAGTAAGGAAATGGCAAGCACGATAAAGAGAAGCAACCTTAGCAGAAGCTAATTTAGCAATCGATTGTATATATGGTTTCCATGAAAGGTCAGTAGTAAGCGATAATCCAAGAAGACGTAAAGAGGAGGACTCAGTAAGAGGACTGCCATTCATTAATATAGGAATGTTGACGATAATATGGTAGTTGTTTGCAGTAAACAACTGGGTTTTGTTAAAGTTGAAATTCACAAGCCACAGTAAACCCCAATCTATTACTGAAGTGAGATTGGATTCAAGATCAGCTGCTTGTTCTAGGCGATCGAAAAGAGAAGATTTTTTGTCAAGACAGGAGTATAAAGTTGAGTCATCAGCAAAAAGAGCTACTTTAGATGAAAAGTTGTCAGGAAGATCGTTTATGTAGATAAGAAACAAAACAGGGCCCAGGATGGAACCTTGGGAAACCCCA